CTCCTTCCCGCCTGTTTTATTCTCCTCCTTGGCAATTGGTGAGGCCACAAGTAGACTTAATACTAACCACATTAAAGAAATCTGAAACAAATGAATTACAATACAGACAAGAATATAATCAATTAAGAAATAAATATAAAACTTACAAATTCTTATTTACAGATGGATCTAAGAATGGTGGCGTGGCTGCTTGTGGCTCTGTCATTGGATCTAGAACAATAACTTCTCGATTATCCACTAACAGCTCAAATTTTACAGCTGATTCAAATGCCATATTTACAGCCTTAAAATATATAAATGAACACTATGAACATAAACAATACATAATCTTTTCCAACTGTCTTTCGTGCTTTCGGGCTTTTAAATTTTGTCTTCTCAACATCCACTTTTAATAGAAATTTTTGAATTATATAATGATCTTACTACTGGCCAATACGACATCGTCTTCTCTTGGTTACCCAGCCATGTTGGAATTTCTGGTAATACAACGGTTGATGTAGCTGCTAAGGCAGCACTCAACAAATCTGTGATACCACTTCTAATTCCATACTCTGATTATAAAGCTATCATCAAGTGGGTATCAATGAATTACATCAAATAAAACCAAATATCGGTTACACCTACTTGGGTTGTCAGTCCAGATTTGAGGAGGTCATTATGCGATATGCACATGAATACTTCTTAAAAGGTGAAGTTCCTCCGTTTTGTAACCCTTGTGATGAAAGAATCACAGTCAAGCATGTCCTGCTTGACTGTATTGATATTTCCCTCACAAGGATAAGTATTTCAATGTAAAAACTGTTAAGGATCTTTTACTACTGTAAATTTTCATTTAATTATTGTTTTTTGTAAAAGAAATAGAATTGTTGCATAAATTTGATATGTGTTGTAAATAGATAAATATTTTATAATTAGTAGTTTAGATTATCAACTGGGATTGTTCAGGGCTGTACCCTCAAAGGCGGATAAAGTACTGTAAATATTGTCCTCCTGGGGGGTTACGTAAGTCCCCAAACGTTCAAAGTAAATCTAAACTTACTACTTTGGTAATCGCAGTATATATGTCATTTTAATTTATGGCTAAATTGCCCCAAATTGCTAACATCTAAAGGGATGGTGTAAACCCAGCTAGGATCCATGCAGGAAGCAAATGTACTGTAAGTCCCCATGGTCCCTAGTATGGTGATCTACCTTCAGTTGTTGGTGATCAATAGCCTGTTTTTATATTGTATTGTCATTTATAGTTAAAATATTTTACTTTTAATTACTAATTTGCAGACAAGTAAATATACTATTCCAACAAAGAAATGCATTCTTTAGGCATTTTGTATTTTTAAAAAACTATTAATTACCTATTGTGTTCAAACAATCGTCAAACTAGGTAACAAAAGTGTTGATAACATGATTTTACACAATTGCACAAGTGAAGAGTCGACTTTGCCTGAAAATGTTGATTTTGATGAGATTTCTTACAAGAATAAAAAGACATCACCTTCCAGTTGAAATTGTGCAGCAAAGAGCATGCGCTGTCTGGCTATAAAAAAACCAGATTACTTTCGGAAATCGGCATCCGATTTGAAGGAGTTTCAAGGTCAAATCACTACGCTAGGTCTTGACGCTGCGACACGGAACATCGCCATTGAAAGAATGCATGCTGGAGATTACCAATTTTCTGTTGCCAGGCGTCTGAATGTTAGTCTGAGCACGACATCACGGTTTGCAGGTCGTTACAACCAAACAGGTATAACAAATGACCGTCCCCGTACAAGCAGACCTCGAGTCACCACTGCAGCCCAAGATCGGTACACCCGGGTACTACATTTGAGTGATTCTACTGCTACGTGTGAGAGCACAGCAGCCAGGGTGGCTGGACTCCGGAGGAAATCCGGTCAAACTGTACGGAACAGGTTGAATGAGATTGGACTGAGAGCCAGGAGACCCGATGTCGGGACCAAGCTACGTGGTCACTATGGTAGCTTGGTCTATGGTTTAAACTGTTAAAACTTGGAATCAAAGGGAAATTCCTTTATGCTGTTCAATCTATGTACAATAACTCTAACGCCCGTGTACGTATAAACAACTGTTTCACTCATTTATTTAATGTAAATTCCGGTGTTAGGCAGGATTGTGTAATGTCACCGACTTTGTTTTCTATTTACATTAATGACCTAGCAGAAGAAATCAACACTCTCAGTTGTGGTGTAAACATTGACGGAGTTATGTTGAGTACACTACTGTACGCTGATGATATTGCTTTGATAGCAGGAGACGAGTTGTCCCTACAGCGGATGTTAGATTGCGTTGACAATTGGTGTAAACGTTGGCGTTTAACTATTAATAAGAAGAAAACTAATGTCGTTCATTACCGACCCTGTTGTTTCAATAGTGAAGATAAGGTTGTTTTATTCACTTCACATCTGACAAGCATGGGTTACTGACGAGAATGTTCTTATTCATTCTCCCGGTACAGGTAACGTTCTCGGAGTGAGCATGGACAGGCAGGAAGTTTTGGTTACATGGAAAATTAGGAATCGAAGCATTTAAAACTGCAACTGACGAGTGGAAATTGATTCAGTACAAGGAAACGAAATAGGAGTTAATGAAGGAATAATGTCATTCAGAACAGCCGCCCCAAATTAAGGGACTTAATTTGAATCTGATGCACAAATGGCATTAGTCCGAAAGTTCAGGCAATCGCACAAGGCGGACAACAGGTCTCTCGTAATGTTTGTCTCCCACACACACTCGAGCCGATCTAACTCGACCATCACTGCTCGGAAATGTCTGTACAATTTTCCCAACTGGCCACTGAGCTCTGCTGAGCTGCGGATCCACCATCAGTACAATGTCCCCACAGGTAAGTTCACCGGTCTCATTCGTCCATTTTCGACGTAGTTGTAGGTCAGGTAAGTAGTACTTGATGAAGTGGACCCAAAACTGGTCCGCTATCACTTGACTGTGACGCCAGCGCCGCCGCCCCATAAGTTCACTCACTGGATACACCACCTGCGGCAACGAAGGATCGCGTCTTCCCATAAGCAACAGGTTTGGTGTGATTGGATCAATGTCTCTCACATCAGAAGTATACCCTAAAGGTTTAGAGTTTAAAATACCTTCTATCTCAACCAAAACAGTATGGAGTTCCGCTTCGGTCACACACTGGTCTCTGAGTATAACTCTCAATGCAGACTTCAACGACTTGATCTCACGTTCCCAAACTCTACCGAAGTGTGGAGAGTTTGGAGGATTGTACTTCCAGCGAATTTTCTGTTCAGAAAGTCTCTCAATCAGAACTGGTTCCATCATAGAAAAGGCTCTTTGAAGTTCTGCATCAGCTCCCTTAAAGTTTGTACCTTGGTCTGACAGGACTTCAAACGGTTTGCCTCGCCTTGAGATAAATCTCCGGAAAGCCATAAGAAAAGCATCAGTACTGAGACTGTCCAACAACTCTAAATGAATAGCACGGGTGGTCATACATTTGAAAAGAACTCCCCACCGCTTCTCAACACGTCTGCCAATCTTGATAGACATCGGTCCGAAACAGTCTATTCCGGTGGAATAAAACACAGGTTTGTAGAGGCGAAGCCTGGCTTTAGGAAGGTCGTTCATTTTTGGAACAACAGGTTTACCACGCCATCGTTGGCATTCTGTACAGTTATGTTGGTGCTTTTTTATTGCTTCTCTGCCTCGTAAAATCCAGAATGTCCGTCTCATCTCAGCCAACACTCTCTCTGGTCCAGGGTGCTTAAGATCCTCATCATACTTCCGGATGAGTAACTTGGTGAGGTGGTGGTGTGGATCTAAGATGATGGGATGCTTAACAGAATCTGAAAGACAATCCGCATTTGTTAACCGTCCACCTATTCGAATGAGACCACATTCACTGTCATACACAGGACTGAGGGGGAGTAATCGGCTACTTGGCTGAATCTGGCAAGGTTCGATATCTCCTCTGGGAAAGAATCCTCCTGAATTTGTCGGTAGACTTTATTCTCCACATTCTCAGTTTGATCCACAGTGTCGGAAATTGAGTTTGAATCGGCCGCCCCATGTAGCTTGGCAATTGACGTGACGACCAGATCATTCCAACTGTCATACTGTTTGTCGTCAAACAATGGCTTTGAGGCTTTACTGAATATAGCTCCGCAGAATGAGTTCCTATCTTCACTGTTGTCTGTCAACACAGGTTTGACTACTGGGCTGGTCCATTCCTCAGGTGGCTCGTACAAGAAAGCAGGACCACAAGACCACTTTGAGTCTTGAATGAGGTCTTGTATTGTAAGTCCCCGTGTAATGCAATCGGCAGGATTGTCCTTTGTGTTCACATACAGCCAATTCTCCACTTTAGTAAGAGTTTGAACTTCAGCGACTCTCGTACCCACAAATACTTTATATCGACATGACTCAGAATGAATCCATGCCAGCACAGTTGTGGAATCACTCCACAACATTACTTTCTCGACAGGTAGCGTCAACTCCCTCAATAGAACATCAGCTAGTTGTGCACCAGTCAGTGCTGCTGACAATTCTAAGCGTGGGATAGTTTGTTGTTTCTTTGGTGCAACTCGGGATCTAGCTGCAATAAAGGTGACGCTAACAGTCTGGTCTTTCATTGTTGTGCGGAGATAGGCCACAGATCCGTAAATACGTTCTGATGCATCACAGAATACATGTATCTGTCTCGTTGCTATATCACACAGCTCAATGTCAGGAGAGTAGCATCGAGGAATTTTCACCAATTTAATGTCAACAAGTCTTCCTTTCCAAAGTTCAGCCACAATTCAGAAGCATCGGACTTAGCATCCGCGGGAAGATCTTCAACAACAGACGGCACATTGGAACACCACTGTCTTATGTTAAAACCACCAGTTGCAAGGACGTTTCTCAGTTCAGTTACCAGTGTTTTGGTTTCCAAAGGTGTAGGTGCACTGTGCAGACAGTTATCAACATAGAACGATTGCAGGATTGCTTCCGAAAGTTCTCCATCGTTCTCCGTATGGTCAATAATTGTCTCTGAAGGGCATAAGTAGCACAGCATGGACTGCAGGTAGTCCCAAAGGGAAGTACCTGCCACTCGTATGTGTTTGGTGCCACTGATGTCTCCATGTTGCGCCAGATAAAGCGTAGTAGTGGTTTATCCCTGGGCAGGACACGCACCTGGTGAAACATGGCTTGTATATCTCCAGATACAGCGACCTGATGCTGTCGAAATCGCACAAGTACTCCGAGTAATGATGGACCGGACCCAACACAGGGCCAGGTAACAGGTAATTGTTCAGTGATATACCAGCCGAGTTGTACGAACAGTTGAACACTAGTCGATACTTCCCATTGTGGTCAACAACATGATGAGGGAAATACCAAGACTCTGTGCCTTTGATTTCGTCTGGAGTCAGGATTCTGACATAACCAGCTGTCACTAACTTTTCTATCAGGTGATTATGGATATCAGCTAGATCTGGGTTGCTGGCGAGTCTCTTCTCTGTACGCTTGAGAATTGGCATCACAGCTGCCTCAGTAGCTTCAAACTTTGGAGCATCCTTGGCACGCAATAATGGGGTGGCATAACGCTGAACACCATCCACCGTAGCAAGTTCAGTTTGAGCCTCAAGCATGTGTAGTGCTTCAATGTCCTGTTTGGATCTCACCACTTTTTTCTCTGAGTAAGGTAGCACATCCAATTGCCACAATCTTTCAACATGATTCATAAGTGTTGCTTTCCTCTCCAAGGCAGTGTAGTAAGATTGAACAGCTTTCTGTGGTGATATTTCTTTAGTTGGACCTTGCAATGTCCATCCAAGAAGGGTGCATATGGCAACTGGGCTTCCATCTGCTCCGAATACAACAGGTTTCTGTGGTAAGATGAGATCAGCATGATCCGACTCAATTAGGATCATAGGACAAGCCTGGGAAATGGTTGGCAAAGGCAAGTCCCGCAGGTGAGGATATGTAGCTTGTAACTCTCTTACAGGGTAATTGTACTCGGACAGACACAGGTTGTCGGCACTAAATGCTCCGGTAATGTCATATCGAAGATCAGGGTGATCTGTGGTGGAAATCTGTAGGTCAACATTAAATCCAGTACACCAGAAAGGATCCTGGCGAATAGTAGTTAGCAACACTTTATCAGGGGTACTAGGTAATTTCAGTTCATTAACAGCTGGCTGCAGAACCATAGTTCGCATTGAACCATCATCAAGTAATGCGTAGGTTTCCATCTTTCTGTCATTGGGGCCATGTAGCAGAACTTTCACAACTTTTAACAGTACGTTCGGTGATTTTGATGGTTGGTCTGCATAAACAAATTCAGAATTGTCAGTTCTGAGGCTATATATCTTGTCCACTCCAGTCTGCATGACCTCATGGAGTGCGGTCAGATGTAAGTTGTTACACTCATGACAAGGCTTCTTCAGTGTACAGTTCTCAGGTTTGTGAAACCTTGCACATTTGCTACATCGGGAGCCTCTCTTGATCCAGTCTGCGATCTCCTGGGTGGTCATTTTGGAGAAGTGTGGACATCTGTGTAAGAAGTGATCATTATTATTACAGTATGGACAATACCTGAATTTCTCAAACTTGGACGGTTTCGGTTTTGGCGACGATTCAGAGGATTTCTGTACCATGTTTGTATTGAATACTGCTGTAGGTGACGACTTTGTATGAGTAGCTTTCTCTTGTCTTTGACGAGTATTGTTGGTCTGGTTACTCCTTTCAGGTTTTTCATATTGAGGTGCGGATGCGGCAGCAATGCGCTTTGCTCTTGCTTTCACTTGTAGCCAATTAGAAAAGTCCACCAGCGTGTAACATCCACCATCTGCTGTGAGAATACCCTTGTTGAGACAATGTTCTATGAAGCTATCTCTGTGAGATTGAGACATCTTGCTGAGCAGGCGGTCAACATGAGACCAACATCTGAGTTCATTACTGTTATCACCATCTACTGATCGTAGAATTCCTACAAGAGAATGAACAGACAGGGCAAAATTCTCAAATCCTTCACTGTCACCATATCTTACTTGCGGGAGATTCATGATATGTCTAAGTTCGCTCTGTACCAACTGGCGTGACTGGCCATACCTTTCCTTCAGGGCAAGGAACGCCATGGTGTAGGGGTTAACATGACTCCGGTAAGCTTCGGCCAATCTCTTAACAGTTCCTCCAAGTTTCTCCACCAAGACTTGAAATTTGTATTGTTCTGTCAAGTGAGGGTGAATGTCAATAAGATTTTTGAATGCCAGTTCCAAAACGAGCAAAGTCCCTTTCCTTACCGCTTGAAAACGACGGAAGATTGGGTTTAGGAATGCCATATGATGAGGAAAGGAGCAACTCGGTTAAATTCCTATTGTGGATAGGTGCTGCAGGCTGTGCAGGTGTTTGTTGATTGGTGTTGAGGTGGGCAGACAGAGCAGCAGGAGAATCCTTCATTTCATGTACATAGGTACTGTTGGCGATGAGGGGAACTGATGGTGTAGGTTTGACAGGTTTACTTGCCCTCATTTCAGATGCATGTATGTCTGGAAAGATCAGAGTAGAAGGAGATGGCCTAGAAGACACTGGGTTGAGAACAGTAATCTCTGGTTCAAGAGGAATGCTTGACACATGAGGCTCATTAGTTTCATAATGACCATGATCAAAGATAAATGTAGGTGAAAACTTTATCCTCTTAGGCATAGGTTCTGTTTTCACAGTGGGTGGATAGACTTCAATGTCACTAGCACCTGTGTTCATCTGAATCATAGATGCCACTAACCCCGCTTCCTTCATATGAAACTCAGCTTTTCTTAATTTCCTCTCTCTAGATATTTTAGTATTTAAAAGTTCTCTCTGCTTTAAAGTTCTGCGACTTACTTTCCGTGCCTCTTTTACTTTACTCTCAGCCTCCTGTTGTGCAACACAGGCTTCCTCATCCAACCGCAGAAATTCCTCAGCTATTTTCTGCTCCTCTTCGGACTGCCGTTTCATCTCCATGTATTCCGCTTGTTTTTTTAATATTCCAGTTCTGCAGCCTGAGACTCGCTCAGCACTGAGGCAAATGACATTCTACTCCTTGCCGAATATCTGGATGATTTACTTGTTACAGAACATGCTGGTTGTTTATCACTATCCACAATGGTGTCACGCTTTAACCTGTATTCCTCTGCTGGCAAAGACTGACTGATATTTGTCTCTTCTATTTTGTCCACTGTTTGAATTGATCCACGTTTAATTGGTTCAGACATGGTACAAATACTTGGGTCACTGTGCGTATTTGTGGGTAAATTTGTTATATAGTCAATTAAATGTGTAGGAACACGTCGCACACGTCGTGAGCGGCGAACATGTCGAGCTCCCTCCAAGTCCGGTGGAAGACCACGTGTGTAGCGACCAGAACTGGGATACGACCAGAACTGGGATAAACAGTCCACAATTTCGTAAAACCCTATTTACTGCAGTACTGCTCCCGGTTAACTCTAAAACTTAAGGCGATCTATGCGCGGAATATGATTTAGTTAATGTTTTTGTGAGGAGACACTGAAAATTATCAGTTACATATTTTCATATTCCTCTGCAAATATGTAGCTAACATTTAATTTTCCAATATAGGTTGGAAGCACCTTAAGAGTTTCTAATTATGTTTGTACTCGTCAGTTATTCAATCGTTTATATCGTGTGGCAATTCCCACTCAAGCAAACCTCTCATGGTGTACGACGTTTCATTTTCATTAACTGTGCAAACGTCGACCCCTAGGGTTGAGGGTAAAATTCCGGCCTGACCTCTTTTCGCCTACACCTCATATCGCCTACACCCTTATCAAAACAAATTTAGTGCTGACTGCACATCACATAAATGCTGTTATACCTTTAGAAAAGTAAACTGTTCCACTAATGAGGTATTCTTCCATGAATTAAAATAAACTTTTGCAATGATGATTTATACTTGAATAGGTCATATATTCAACAAGTTAAAATACCAATATCATCACAAAGATCTGTCACATAAGTCAATCACCAACACCACCATCATCAGTGATACAAAATCATCAGTCACAGAACAATTACTGTAATTACACTGAAGTTAAAATTTCAAAAGTTGAAATACAGAGGCAAGTAGTTAAAATACCAATATAATCACAATGATCAGTCACATAAGTTAATCACCAACACCACCATCATCATAATCATCAGTCACATATGTAATATGTTTGTTTTAGTCACATATGTAATATGTTTGTTTTAGCGTTGTTGTTTCAAGGGATTAAATTCCTCGACGCAGCTGGTCACCTTATCAAGTTGAAGTGAGAATGGACAATGTCACGATTGTGATCGGAAAATGACAAATAACAGAATAAACAAGAAACAGACAAATAACAGAAATAAATTCCTTTAAAAACCTTTCTTTTTGTCCTTCAACTACTTCAACTAGAAGATGATGTGATGATATGATGTGATAAATAAATTATCATTTCACTGTGATCAGAAAATGACAAGGAACAGAAATAAATAAATCCTTTTTGTCCTTCAACTACTTCAACTAGAAGAATCCACTTTTAGATCATAGGGGTGCCACTAGTTCACCTTTGCGTCATCAAACCTAGACGTACTATTAAATGGCAGTGCAGATCTTCCGTATAGTGACAATATTCACATTTTTAAAGAAGTTCAAAAATATATATCAAATTCCAAAAGGTTCAGTGATTGGATATAATGTGTATGATCTAACTAATTCATGTATTCATTGTATTGTATATATCATTTTGTATATATCTTTCTATCCCTGTACATTTAGTTTGTTTCACTTTTGCATGTAAGCACTGTAGATAGGAGAGGGTTTCACTAAGTTGGCATAACTTGTACCCAATCCATTCTCTTGAATAAATATGTTTAAATCAATCAATAAATCAAACAGTCAACAGACCATGACATGTTGTTTTAAGACTGTAGGCGAATTGGGATGTAGGCGAAATGAGTGTGTCCTCCCAAAAGTTAGACGCGTTAAAACAACAAAGGTTATGGTTGGTTGAACTGAGGTTCACTACACTGTTACCTTCGTTAATTAATGGACTAGTCAAAAAATGTACTAATCCAAACACAAAGAGAAGAGATTATGGATAATGACAATGACTTTATTTTATATTGGTTAGGCCAGACCAATTTTATTTCTTGTCCTCAGAAAACTAAAGGCAGGAGGGAAAAAAATAAAAATACATGTAAATACTGAAAGTATTTTACTTTTGGAAATTTATGAAGAGTATATGGGGCAAAGCACTATCTACAAAAAAAATTCTTGTAAATTTACATGTTTGACCAATAAAATATTTGGATTTTATTTTTTTGAGCGGGGAGGGGAGGGGGGATTATTTATTTTTGTTATTCTTGAAAAAATACGACAGGCGGATCCGTAAATCAAGAAATAAAATTGGTCTGTCCTTATGTTGGAAAAAAATGTTAGGAAGGAAGTAACTCCATTAGGGTAATGAAAACACAAAAACATAAAAAATCTATAATTCTGTGTTGATCAAGGTGAACATCGTAAAAACAATTATACTATTCCATGACTATATGTACATGTCAACTGCAACTTTATGTAGATAAATGTACATGTAGACAAAAGGATTGGTTGAATTTGGGTATCAAATATTTTGAAAAATAGTCAACATTATCTAGTTTATATAAGTGGTGTAGTACTTCTAGAAGTGCCCTTATACCCCGAGATGATGAATCTGATATACAGAATAGTCAACATTATCTAGTTGATATAAGTGGTGTAGTACTTCTAGAAGTGCCCTTATACCCCGAGATGATGAATCTGATATACAGAATAGTCAACATTATCTAGTTTATATAAGTGGTGTAGTACTTCTAGAAGTGCCCTTATACCCCGAGATGATAAATCTGATATACATTTATTGAACTTACAAGAAGATGAAAAAGGAATACCTAGATATCTGTATGAATCAACCGTTAAGACACTTTCACCTTTACAAACCATTTCTCATTTCTCGCTTAGGGTCCACCTCTTCTAGAAACAATAATTTGAGTTTTCTCTAGATTAACTGTCAACATTAGTATTCTGATCAAAGTATGTCTGTACAAATGTGAAAACCATCTCGTTAGTGTATCGGACAGGTTCATTATATCAGTGGGTAAGACTAGGTTGTAATCACAGTCACGCCTGATTAATTTGTCTGACAATTTGGATGTCTGACTTTTGGGACGTGTAACTTTTGGGAGTAAACCGAAATGAGAACATACCGTGTAAAGTATATTGTGACTTATTGTGCAGAACAGTTAAACTGTTGCTGATAAGCTAATAAGGAGTCTACTAAATAGACGAACAGAGATTAAATGTTAAAAGTAGGGCTGGGGAGGCAGGGTACGGTGTTTATGTTTTGGTTGTGAAACGTGCGGTGTGTGGCCTTGACATTGTGAGTTAGTCTTGATAATTGAGTTTACACTGTAATGTGTGGCTGGATAGAGATGTTTTAAAGGGTTTATTCTGAAGTTAAGGGTGCCTTTTTTGTTTGGTGTTTTGATATATTGTTTTCAGACCCAGTCTGGTAGTTTAGAGTAATTTGGTTTCTTCTAGTAACTACCAGAGTGCGTCTCCTCTGTCTTTGGGTAGGAGCGATTTAAGTTCATGTAGGTGAAGATCTTCAGTTAATATATTCAGTTACAATTTCATTGTCTTAATTAATTCAAAGAAATTACAGCTGTATTTTGATCACTCTGAAATACAATAAAGTGACATAAACATAAATGGTTACCTATAACCAAACAGCGAGAACTGTTAATTATTATAGAATTGTCTACATATGGCTCATTTATAGTGTCACATACTTCAAAACTCTCTGAATGTGATGTATATGTAATAAATTGAGCTGCAAAAGAAACGCAAGTTCGACTTTGTTTGAAATGTAAGTGTAACTCACCTTTCCATTAAGTAGGAATTGAAATGATGGCGTACAATATGGCGTCACAAAACCATCAACAATGAACCTAAAACATGAATAGTGCTCTTAAGGGGACATATATTGCAAATCAAACACTCACTCAGTGATTTTATTTTAGGATGATGGTTTGGATGTGGTTGATTGTCTTAGTGCTGGCCACTATCACCATGAAA